TCGTCTCTCTCTCTCTCTCTCTCTCTCTCTCTCTCTCTCTCTGTACCGGGATCCTCTCCCTCCGATCCAACCTCCCTTCCTGTACGCCGAGGGCAGAGGGAGCCCACCGAGAGGGAAAATCGATCCTCGACGATGTCCTACCCTAACCCCAATCCCTCGGCCTCGCCGGGTGTGCATACACGCCCCTCTGGCACCCACTTTCCGCTATCCGGGTCATGGGTCACTGCCACCGCTCGTTCTGCGCTCGCCGTCAATCGTACGCAAGGGTTTAACATCGCGTATGCTATTATCGCGGAAAATGTTAAAAAACACTTCCTCTTTTACTTCCTCTTTTAATTAAAAGTCCGCATATCGAAAATAACAATTAATAATTTGCCTCTCCGAACCAGTAGATATAAAATATCAAAGATATCAGAGTGATAATGAAAATAATTAGAAAGAGAATAAAGAATCGTTTGAAAATGAAATAATAGCATAATGTAAATAAATTTATAAAATGACATGACATAAGAATAATTTATATATAATATGATGCCATAAATATGATCTCATCAAAATAATTAAAAAAAAACACACTTGACTTTTGAATTAACTCAAGAAAGACGAAGCAAATAGCGCCAAGTGTATCAACGATATTAATCGTTGAAACGAGAGAAAAATGTAAAATGACTGCGAAACTCTAATTTACTTTTAAAAGATACTTATTTGTGTAACAGCTCTCTTCCCGAGAGCGTATAATTGCAAAAATTTGAAATAATCTTCGAACTAACGTGTGACATCTTATTTTTTAGAAACGATACACATTTAATACATACGACTCGATTGGTTCTCGAGGAACAAAAGACTTTTATATCTACAAATCTAACGCGATTATTACAGTTATAAATGAGAAAAGGTAGAATTCTATAATATTCGCAATATAAGAGGAAGAAAAAAGATCCGCGTATGTGCACGTCTACGAGCGTATAGGCTCGCGAGAGAAGGTAGGTCATGGAATTGGCGCGCTTCAACACAGAAATGAGGCTATCGACCTCCAGAGAATTGAAAGAGGAAGGAGGTCGTGACCCACTAGCGGCTGCTGCTGCAGAACGATTTTCTCGTTATCGTGCTCGTGTTAACCCTCCGCCGAGACCTTGAGGTGAGCAAACGTGACAACGTTGTTTTTGACAGCGATCCGGGCAAAACGCATAACGTCGGCGAAAAGTAATAAATGTAGCAAGATATTACACGGGCGAGTCAAGTCCGAAATCCGCATGTATCTCCGAGAAATATAGAAATTCAGGTATATAAATAAAATAATTTCAATTATTTGTTTCTAATAAGTAAATATACCGCACTTTGCTATCGATAATTTGCAGTCTCGATATTCGATTTCTTTATATCGGAAATAAAACATGTTTTCTTTTGAAGAAAGATGAAGCAGTGACATACGAGTCGCGATGAGGAAACTGATATATATACAATATCGTCTCTACTTTATTAGAGCATTGTATACACAGTGTAGAAAAACCTGTAACGATCTCTCAGTCGGACTTTTTACACCATTTTCGCTGCGTTTATTTTATTATTCCCTGTCCGATCTCTGCATTTGTTGAACTTTATCGTTGCGAGAGAGAGAGAGAGAGAGAGAGAGAGAGAGAGAGAGAGAGAGAGAGAGATACGACGT